CTATGATTCTATGATTCATAGAATTCAATGCTTTGCTGGGTAACTGTATCACTTCCACTCCACCACTTTCAGTGTCACTCACTTCCTCATCTTGTTCCCCATACGCTTCCCAAAAAACATTGAGTTTTAGTGAACAGAAAATTATTTGTGCATAACTATCTTTGAAGTACTTATGCACAAAATTTTATATTTCTAAGTGATCAAATACTTCAACTGTAGAGGCTAAATCAGTGAAAACCTTTGCAGAAAAGAGGGATATAAAAGCCCTTCTTTTAAGATGTATGTAATCAGTGTCTCTTTGGATACGTGTGCCCAGGGTGACCAGATGTTCTAACTGCAAAAGAGGACAAGGCACCCCCAAATGTAGGACATTCAAGAAAAATGTAGTTCATTACAAAAAGGAAGCTAAAAACACTAATATAAATATAAATTCATGCTTCTTAGTCATGCTCAAAATGGAGGGTATTTTGAAACTGCTCCTGGACAAAAATTTGGAATGGAAGAAATGTCCTGGAAAAGGAGGATGTCTGGTCTTACATGTACCTTTGGTACAAATTTTTGGTTTGGAAGTCAAGCAGAAATATCCTGTTAGAATCTATTTATCTATCAATTTTTCTTGTTTGATAATTTTATTGCCAAGCAAACTAATCTGACTGTTTTTATATAACTAAGTGATTGGGATCAGAATGACCTAGTGGTTATACGTTACCTTCAATTGGCAGTGGCTTCTCTTTCAAGTTACAACCTATTTTGAACTCTGTTCAGACAGCACAGCCCATTGGAGCAGAGGCTGTCTGAGAGAGCAAAAGGCCATTCCATTATGTAGGCTTGATCTCTTGCCATGCTGTGCCATTGTTTGACATCATGAAACACTCAACTCAGAAAAGGTCATTTTGTTAGTGGAGGGGGGAAAATGCTGCTTTGCCTGAATAGCTGCATGCCATATATCTGGGAGGTTTCATCCAAGCCTGCTAAACATTCTCAACACAGCTAGTACAGACAGAGCATAGTTTCTATTTGCACACACACTGATAGTTGGCATAGAATGCACAGTAGTGGGATGAAATGTCACCATTTAATAATTAATTCCATTCTAAATCCCACTCTGATACTTTCTGTGGAGGATGAACTCTGTGGCACATACAGTAAATTTGTCAGACCTCTGAGACAAAGCAAAGAGGAGAGTGACATGCCAGTGTTTTTCTCACTCCCCTGCATTAATACTTTTCAAATAAATGCAGTAAAAACAGTGCCCATCTCCTGCCAGTTTTCCTCTAGAGCATCCCACATTGCTCAGTACACCAGCAAGTGTGCTTTCATATTTATTAATTTGGTAGACTAGAAAAAGATTGTGTCATTTTTTGCCATATATTGAGTGTGCTTTCTGGGATACTGAACAAATCTTGCCAACAAAACACTGCAATATGGTTGCCTTAGAGTCATAAAAAGTTAGAATGACTTGAACCATTTTAATGCTAACTTATTTAAATTTTACTTTCCATTACCTATATATATAGTACATAGCAGTACATAGCAAAAGTATTGAATCCCACTCTTGGGTTTTTCCACAATTTGTTGTTACAACTTGGAATTGAAATGGATTCAATTAGCATTGCTACCTCTTGATAGTCAGTACTATGAAAGTGTAAAAGATTTTTAATGTGGCACAAGTAAAAAATTGGAAAATGGCATTTGTTGGTTGCATAAGTATTCCCTCACACTTCAAACCTGCCCTTTCTTAGGAAGATGCTATATATGTGTAGTAGTTTTAGTGAGTTCATGTTCAGGCTGGTCCAAAACATTTTGCTTCCTGTGGCAGAGCAGATAGTGGTGCTTTACCTCCCAAAGCAAAGATACCCTACTTCTAAGGTTTAAAAGCAATGATATCCAAGCCTAGTTAAGTCATTCTAGCATCTGAGTCAAAAAATATTTTAGTCATTCTCTCCTTCCTGGCAGCAGCAGCAACAAGGTGTCCGCCTTCCTTTTTACACACTGGAGCTGACCATAGTCTGGGAG